CCCCGCGGCGCCCTTGCCCTTGGCTGCGCCCACGGGAGGCCCGGGGGCGCTGCCCGGCACGGGCGGTCCCGGCCCGCAGCGGCGCACGCGGCGCCACCGCACCATTTTCAGCGAGGAGCAGCTGCAGGCGCTGGAGGCGCTCTTCATGCAGAATCAGTACCCCGACGTGGGCACGCGCGAGCGCCTGGCCGGCCGCATCCGCCTGCGCGAGGAACGCGTGGAGGTGGGTGCCCGCCCGCCAGACGGCGAGAGGGTCCGAGCGGGCTGGCTTCCTTCCTCCTTCTTTTGAAAAGATGGCCCTGGCGCGAAGGCGGGAGGCGCGGGAGGCCCGGGAACCGCAGTGGGCCGCAGGGCCGGTTCCGGGGCGAGGGCGGGCGGGGCAGGCTAGTGTCGGAAAGTGTCACTAGAACTGGAGGGGAGATAAGGCTAGTTTTCTTTAACTTTGGCTTAAACTTTTTAATTCCCCTGATAAATGAGACGCGCGTTCACGTGCCCGAATTTGGGAAGCTCGGAAAGAGCACCAAGCTGCAGAATGGGCGTCCGGAGCACCTTGGGGGGGGGGGGGGGGGGGGGAGGGCCCCCCGGGGGGGGGGGGGCCCGGGGGGAAAGGGGGCCCGCGCCCCCCCCCCCCGCCCCCCGCCGAGAGAGGGCTGGTCCGGGTGGGAAAGTGGTCCTCGTCCCGCAGCCCGAGCCGCAGCGGTTAAGAGACGGTGGGTGCCGCTGCCCCCGTGCCGTCTCTCCAGCCCTCTCCTGCCCGTATCCCTGTCGGGAAGCTCCCTGCCTGGTCCACTTATGAGGGTCCGGAGGGACGCGGGTCCCAGGACTGGATCTGAGCGGTCCCTCCTGCTCATCAGGTCTGGTTCAAGAACCGCCGGGCCAAGTGGCGACATCAGAAGCGCGCGTCAGCGACCTCGAGGCTCCTCCCCGGAACCAAGAAGCCCGCAAAGGAGAGCTGCTGATGGCTCTGGGAGCTACTCCCGGGCTTGGCCGGGTCCTTTGGGGCCGGCTCAGGGAGGGGACAGATCGACCCGAAATGGTGCTGACAGAGGACACCTCTTCCCGCCTGCAGGCTTCCTGCATCCTGCAGCTAGTGCTCAAGGCAGGAGCTTCTCTGCCAGACAGCAGAGAAGCTCCCGTGCCCACCCCCTGTGCCACCTGCCCCAGGAAAGGAGGGAACGCTGAGCATCTCCAGGTGCTCTCCTTTCCAGCGACTAGGGTCGGGGAGATTCCCCGGGAGCTGCAGCGGGGTGGGGGTGGGGGGTTGTTGGTTGCTGGGAGCAGGGCACAGAGCAGATAAGCTTCCTCAACTCCCCACCAACTCCAGGACAGGAACCATCCCCTTGTCAGGAGGGCCCAGAATCCTCCTCTCCCTCCTGGGGTATGCTGATGTCCCGCCTCTTCTCAGCATGGACATAGGTCTCTTGACATGGCCAAGGGGGTGAAGGGGGTGTTCTGTGCATTCTGGGGTTGTCAGCTCGCATGTCCTGCACTGGGCCTTCCTGTCCAGAGCTATAGGATAAGGACATTGGATGAGGTCATCTCCAGAAGCCCCCTACCCTGCCCCTTAATTCTGTGAGCCTTGCCTGGATACTGGGAAATAAACAAGCAACTACAAACGGCACAAAAGCAGTCCAAAGTTCGAAGTCCACCATGACTTCACTCCCACATCCAGGGGGTGGGGGCCAGCTGGTCTTGGGGAGCACAGCCCAGTGAGTCCTCAGTTTCTGTGCTCCCCAGCACAGCAGACTACCCCACAGATCATGGCCTGGCACCCTGGGGGTCTGCACTGGCCTTTAGGTACTGAATGGGTAGAGATCCTTGGCCTCCTCCTTCTGGGGGATTTACACGCTATGTGTCTGCCATCCTGTTGGGGCAAGAGGAGGTTTGACTGGGGAGGATGCACCACACCCCCTGCCACTGCCTTGGAAAATCTGTTTTCCTCTCCAACATCCCAGCCCTAGGGTGAAGGACAGTGTGAAAATGAGGCTTTCACTCTCCCCAGTAGGCCTGTACGGTGGGTTCAAGGCACCTAACACCATCATCTGGCTTGGGGACCATGTTCTGCCTCCTCACAGGTCCTGGAAGAAATTGGGGGATGGGGTATCTGAAAGGAGACACAGTCCATTCATTAAAGGTGCAGAAGCTGAGCAGGCATGACGTCCCCAGCCAGTGCTGCTCTAACACTGCCGGATGCCTCCAGGACAACAGCACTCACCTCCACCTCTCAGGATGCACACTTCTGGCTGTCACAAAGCTCTTTTCCCCCGAGCCCCGGCCTTATCCTTGGATACTGCCCAGCCCTCCTGCAGAGCTTCCCTGCAGTTTGGAACACCCTCATCTCTGGGACCCCAGCCCCCCATTGGCTCTTTGTCATTGTAGAGGGCAGCCATGATCAGAGCTCCATTTCAAGGGGCCAGTGGCTATACTGTCCTTCTGATTTCTCTCCTTTCTCTCTAGCTGTTCCTTGGCAGGTTCACCCCTACAAGCTGCCCGTTAACATAGGTGTCCTGCAGGCTGGACCCAGGCATGGCCCTCTCTTCTCCATTCTCTCCTTGCTTTATCACTGCCTCTTTTAGACTCCAATTCCCTTCTGTCTTCCACATTTACATCTCCAGCCCAGGCCTCTTCCCTTAACTAGATACTTCTGTCCATCTATCCCCTTGACCTCTCCATGTGGAAGCCCACTGTGCCTCAAAATCACCTTGTCCATGGCAAATTCTTCCCCTGTGCAAACCAGGTGCATGAACCAGAGGACTCGCAATTACCCACACCCCTCTTCTCCCTCACCCACCATCCCAGGCCAGCAGCAAATCCATTTTTCTTCCAAAAACAATCCCAGAAGCTATTTTTTCCCCAGCTTCAACAGTACCAACCTGATGAAAGTGCTGTCATCCCTTACCATGACCATTGTAGGTGCCTCCAGTCTTGTCCACCTGCAGCCACTCTGTTTCCTCTGTAATTCATTCTCCATAAAAGCCAGGGTGCAAGTTTGAACCTGCCTCTCCCCTGCCTACAGCACTCCAAGGGCTTTCCGTTGTTCTTTTTTTTTTTAATTTTTTTTTCAACGTTTATTTATTTTTGGGACAGAGAGAGACAGAGCATGAACGGGGGAGGGGCAGAGAGAGAGGGAGGCACAGAATCGGAAACAGGCTCCAGGCTCTGAGCCATCAGCCCAGAGCCTGACGCGGGGCTCGAACTCACGGACCGCGAGATCGTGACCTGGCTGAAGTCGGACGCTTAACCGACTGCGCCACCCAGGCGCCCCTTTCCGTTGTTCTTAAAGATAAAACTCACTGTGACCCATGAAGCCCCATGCAGCCGGCCCCTGCCCATCTGGCATCATTTCATACCTCACTGCTCCTTGCAGTCTGTGTGTATCAAAAGCTCTCTTTTGCTGCAAGACCTTTGCACCTGCTTTTTCCCTCTTCCTGGTCAGTGTCTGTTCATCCTTTGGATCTGCAACCATTTCTGGCCCTGGGGAGACTTCCCCTCACTGCCCCCTAGGTAAGATTCCCCAACAACAAACTTTCTTTCTTTCTTTCTTTCTTTTTTTTTTTTAACACCTGTCTGCTGCAGTGTTTTAAAGATTTTTAAGTTTATTTATTTTGAGAAAGAGAGAGATTGAGGAAGGGGCAGAGAGAGGGAGAGAGAGAATCCCAAGCAGACTCTGTGCTGTCAGCACAGAGCCCGACCTGGGGCTAGAACTCACAAACTATGAGATACTGACCTGAGCCAAGATCAAGAGTCAGACACTAAACCAACTGAGCCATCTGGGCCACACACTCCAGCCCTGCCCCGTTGCAATTTTATGCTTGTTTGTGGGATGATGCAACTAGTGTCTGTCTTCGCCATTTGACTGTCAGTTCCACAGGGCAGGAATCATCACCATGGGGTTTCCCAGTGGGTGAAGGAATGGCTGCCTATTGTACTAAATCATTCCGGGGAAGAACTTACTTGTTTGATGTAGTTCACAACCTCTTTTGGAGAAGAAATGATCATTTTTGAAAAAAGCGGGCAATTTTCTGGTCCATTTCAATGAAAGTTAGTCCGCTTCTGGGAAGCCCACTCGTGTTCAGGAATTGAATATTTTTTTTAATATTTATTTATTTATTTTAAACTTTTAAAAACATTTTTTTAACGTTTATTTATTTTTGAGACAGAGAGAGACAGAGCATGAATGGGGGAAGGTCAGAGAGAGAGGGAGACACAGAATCTGAAACAGGCTCCAGGCTCTGAGTTGTCAGGACAGAGCCCGACGAGGGGCTCGAACTCACGGACTGAGAGATCATGACTTGAGCCAAAGTCGGACACCCAACCGACTGAGCCACCCAGGCGCCCCAGATGTTTACTTATTTTTAAGAGAGAGAGAGAGAGAGATCACAAGCGGGGGAGGTGCAGAGAGAGAGGGTGGGTACAGAGGATCGGAAGCAGGCTCCTGCTGACAGTAGAGAGCCTGATGCAGGGCTCAAACTCACGAACCCTGAGATCATGACCTGATCTGAAGTTGGACGCTTAACGGACTGAGCCACCCAGGCGCCCCAGGAACCGAATAATTAAAAAAAATTTTTTTTAATGTTTATTTATTTTTCAGGGAGACAGAGACAGACTGTGAGTGGGGGAGGGACACAGAGAAAGGGAGACACAGAATCTATAGCAGGCTCCAGGCTCTGAGCTGTCAGCACAGAGCCCGATGTGGAGCTCGAACTCACAAACTGTGAGATCATGACCTGAGTCGAAGTCAGACGCTTAACCAAATGAGCCACCCAGGCGCCCCGGAACGGAATAATTTTTAACCAGACATTTCTTTATTGGACCATTGCATTTTTCTTTTCTTCTTTTCTTTTTTTTTTTTTTTTTTTGTTGTTGTTAGATAACTATCAAGAAGAAATTGTCTTAGTGGTCTTTTCTGGTATAAAGTTTGAATAAAACCTTTGAAACGAGTATATAGCCAAAATGTGTTTTTGTTAATGATATAGAAGCATACCCAATGATTATTTTCGAGAAACCGGAATTTCAAGGCCTTTCAATTTAGCAGTGCTGGAATTTTTCAGGATCAGAGTGAGTGACACGCCCCTTAGCCTACCACACCATAGCGCCCTCTGGTGCCCATAGTCCAGATTCGGAGGACCAGAGCGGGGAGGGGCAAAGACTACAACTCCCATAAGGCCCAAGGATTATAATGGCGTCACCACGGAGCGCGGGCTGGTCTTCAAAATGCGCAGCTCTTCCATTGGTGGGTTGTTGCAAACGCCTGCGCAGCTGGCGCAGTTCCGCCCCCGCCGTCTCCGGACCCTGTTACGTCCCTGTGCCGCCCGAGCGGCCCTGGGATAGCGATGGAGACGCCCGGCGCATCAACCCGGGCCCTGCTGCTCCCTGCCGCGTCCGGGCCCCGGAGGAAGCGCGCGGCAGGGGAGTCGCTTGCGACGAGCAAGCAACGGGTCCTGGACGAAGAAGAGTACATCGAGGTAAGACCTCGATGAAGACGCTAGCGAATTCTAGGTCCCTTCCCCGCCTCGCGCTCTTCTCGGGCCCCTCCTCTCGGGTCGTGGCAGTCTCGTCCCCTCGCGGAGGTGGAGCAACTTGAGTCCGTGCTTTTGGGGTGTGGGCAGTTGGAGAGCCAAATAAGAACAGTTCAGAGTGAGGTGTCTTGATGGGGGAGGCACTAGTAGTGTTGTTAGAGGAGAGTGAGGGCGGTTTATTAAATTTGGTTTTATTAAATGTGGAAGGATGGTAGCAAAGAAGACTTTCTAACAGAGCTGTTTGTTTTTGGGAAGCCTCTGGGACAGACAGGCAGGTGGCATTAGTGGACAGCTAGGTGCACAGACGTGCAGCCAGGAGCAAGGTCTGGCTGGAGGTACAGATTTGGGAATCTCAACCACTGCTACTGGTGGGGGTGACAGGCTGAAGTCATCCAGGTAAAGGGTTCAGATTGGAAATAGGAGGTTACAGGTGGAATGAAGGTGGCAACACCCACCTTGGTCCAGCTAGTGTGGAGGTGGAGCCAGTAAAGGAGAATGAGAGTGACCAGTGAGGGGAGAGAGAAGGGTTTCATAGAAATCAGGTGAACGTTTAGTAATGTTAGGTGTTGCATTAGATCGCAAGGGTTGCTCATCGTCATTGGAAAGTGCAGGTAACCTCAGAAGATCATTGGGTTGGACAGAGGGCATCAGCAAGGACCTTAGCATGTACATTGGTAGACGGAGAGACAGGTGTGAACTATGACTTTTATTCTGACTTCTGACAGGGCCTCCAGACAGTCATCCAGAGGGACTTCTTTCCTGATGTAGAAAAGCTGCAGGCCCAGAAAGAGTACCTGGAGGCTGAGGAGAATGGAGACCTGGAGCGGATGCGTCAGATTGCCATCAAGTTTGGCTCTGCCCTGGGCAAGATGTCCCGAGAGCCCCCACCGCCCTGTAAGAGCAACAGTGGGTGGCTGAGAGGGGAACTCCTCCTGAGCCGATGCCTTGGACTGGCTCTAATCCCTACCCCCTTCCTTCTAGATGTGACTCCAGCCACATTTGAAACCCCTGATGTGCACACAGGCACCGGAATGGTGGGCAACAAGCCCCGGGGCCGGGGCCGAGGCCTGGAAGATGGCGATGGTGAGTGAGCGGTTGGGTTTGTCTAGAGTCTTATCCTATGTGGCCCTGAGGGGCTGGTTCAGAGGCAGATCACATCTTGTCCCTGAGGGCTCTGTTTGCTTACATAGCAACCCACGGCGCCAAAGAGCACTGGTCTAGGAGACAAGATCTGGGTCCAGCTCCCAAACACAGGGCAGTTCTCTGAGCCTCTGGTCCTCCTCTGTGGAATGGAAATCTTGCTACCTCTCTCACCAGCCTGCTCACTGTGTGCCAGCCCAGTGGGCTTCATGGGCCTTGGAGGGCCCCTTTTCTACTGTCTCCTTACAGTGCCTCAGGGCCTCTGCACTTGTGTCTTCAGAGTTAGTCTCTTCCCCTGGATAGCTGCACATCTCACACCTTCTCTCCCCTCAGGTCTCTGCTCAGATGTTACCCATTCAGGGAAACCTTTCCTGACCACTGTCCCCCCCCCCCCCCACAACGTGAAGTTACATCACCTTTCATGCATGCTGCCTTCCTGCTTGGCTTTGTTTTCTCACTGCAGGACATGGCACCTAAAAAGGCATTTCTCTACGTATTGCTTCTTCTCTCCACAAGAGCTTCTTTGTCTCACCTCTGTGTGTATACTTTGCATCCAGAACAGTACACGGTGTGTTGTGGGAATAGAACAAATGAAAGAGTTGTCTTCCTCAGTGCATGTATTGGGGATCGTGACATGTTCCAACTTTATGAGGGATTTTTTTCTAGGAAAGAGCATTTTGCGTCCTGTTGGACATGACTATACTACGTGCTACAGGACTTTCTCATGATCAGTTGATTATTTTGTTCTTAGTAGAACATCAGTGCTCAGACAGATAAGATGCTGTTCTCTACCAGGTTCTAGTGTGCAGTGCGTTGTGTGTCTACACGGACAAAATATTTTCTGCTTCAAAATCCAGCTCTTTGTGGGGCCCTGGGTGGCTCAGTCAGTTATGTATCCAACTTGGGCTCAGGTCATGATCTCTCAGTTTGTGAGTTCAAGCCCCACATCGGGCTCTGTGCTGACAGTTTGGAGCCTGGAACCTGCTTCGGATTCTGTGTCTCCCTCTCTCTCTGCCCCTCCCCTGCTCGTGTTCTGTCTTTCTCTCTCTCAAAAAAATAAATAAAATGTTAAAAAAAAAATTTTTTTAAGTCTACTTCTTTGTGCCGTTACCGTGGTTTGTCATGTTGTGTCCTTGGAGTTTGATTCTCTACTGCAACGTGGCAGATGCATCACAGGCAATTTGCAGATTCCTTTTCTTTAAATACACGTTGTTAGTATATCTAAGAATCATTTCGGTGACCTAAGTGGTAGGTACCATCATCATTCACATTCACAGGTGAGGAGGCCGAGACTCAGGAAAGGAGGTCTCAGGGCTTGTTGGTGGTGGAATGGGGTTTGAGTTCTCTTTCTGCCTCTGGGTCTTGAGCTTTTAGCCAGTGTACTTTGTTCAGTCTAGGAGTCTGTGTGTGGTCAGGACTCAGCAGAATGGGAGACAAAGCTCTCCACCTAATGGGCCTGCTGAAGTGTGTACCACTGTGCGCAGTGCGATGGGACCTCAGTAGGGGTGCCCCTTTCTACAGCGGTGGGAGGGGCAGCTGGAGTCGCGGCCCAGTGCCTGTGAGGCCCCATCTAGAGTACTGGATCATACGGGGTCCCTGCCATCAAAGCCTGCTAGCAGGTTAGGGGGCTTAGGTGACAAACCATCCACCTGTGGCACAGATACCAGGAAGGGAGGAGCAGGCAGGGTAAGAAAACCCAGGGATGGAGGGAGAGCTTGGGGCTCTGAAGGTGGATCCTACAGGATCAGCACAATTTTGGCAAGGCAGGACCTGACTGTGATCACCTGCCTTTTCTGTAGCCCCTGGATGTCACTCTTCTGGTCTGAGTCAGACATAACATTTCACCTGACATCCAGCAGTTGAGGAGAGCCCCTGAGTGCTCCCTGGGCAGTTGGCAGGGGGAGAGGGGGGTTGATTCTGCCCCTAGGAGGGGAATTGTCTGATGGTGTGGGCTCTCATCAACAGACCCGCAACCAGGGTGAGGGTTCCATCTCTGCTTATGAGGTAGCCTGGTTCCTGAGATCTTGTGACTGCAAAGCAGTGTTGATGCTGTTTGTGATTCTGTGTCATCCCACCTATGCTCCTGAGCAGGAGAGGCTGGAGAGGAGGAGGAGAAGGAGCCCCTGCCCAGCCTGGATGTCTTCCTGAGCCGGTATACAAGTGAGGACAATGCCTCCTTCCAGGAGATCATGGAGGTGGCCAAGGAGAAGAGCCGGGCACGCCACACATGGCTCTACCAGGCCGAGGAGGAGTTTGAGAAGGTGTCTTTGGGTACAGGGGCACAGGCATCCTCTGTCAGGATGGAGGGAGTCCTGGGGCCAGGGGCACAGTGCCTGGGCACCTCTCTGACCCTCACTTTTCCCCTGTGATGCAGAGGCAGAAAGATAATCTTGCACTTCCGTCGGCAGAGCACCAAGCCATTGAGAGCAGCCAGGCCGGTGTGGAGACCTGGAAGTACAAGGCCAAAAACTCCCTGATGTACTACCCAGAGGGTGAGCAGGCAGGGCTGGCAGGTGGCATGGCATGGGACAGTGTGTTTGGATCTGCCCTTAGGGTGTGTGTGTGGGTCTTTGCTCCCTAGCATACTGGGCCTCGGAGGTGCCCTGGTCTGTCTCGGGGCAGAGGAGCCTGTGTGTTGTCAGTGAGACAGTGAGGCCGTCCCCTGCTTTACTAGGCCCCGTGCTTCTGTTTACTGGGGAATGACTTAGTCTCTACCTCAAGCCTTGAGTGCAGGGCAGTAATGGGGACTCCCCACCCCCTCTGACACCGCTGCCATCTTGTCTCCACCTGCCAGGTGTCCCTGATGAAGAACAGCTGTTTAAGAAGCCAAGGCAGGTGGTGCATAAGAATACTCGCTTCCTCAGGGACCCCTTCAGCCAGGCCCTGAGCAGGTCCCAGCTGCAGCAGGCCGCCGCCCTCAATGCCCAGGTGAGTGGCAGGGGCTGGATGTGGGCACAACCTCTCTGATCTTGGCTGCCTTCATTAAATTAGTACCGTTCTTGGGTTTGGCAGAGACTAGCAGCGTGGGAGTATTTGGAGCTCCTGTGCGGCAGGGTCCTGAGCCTTTTCTTGACTGTATGGGCTTCTACTGGGGCCAGAGATGTTTGGTGGTCAGTTCTGCCCCTTGTCCCTGGAGGACAAGGACATGAGAGAAGAGACGCTGCTGGGAGCCAGTCCAGTCTGGCCAGACCCACACCTCTGTACCAGGCAGGGCAGGGGTAGGTGGGGTGCGCAGGCTGGGGCGCAGTGAGGCTTGGTGGGGCAGACAACAGGGGTTTCTGGGCCTGGGTGTCATGGTGCAGTGGTGACTCCAGGAGAGGGAGAGGCAGGAAGTGAGGAGACTGTTTTGTAAGCTTCTATAGGTACCTGTGGGAAAGAGGTCAGAGCACATGTGTGCCAGTGGTCAGTGTAGTTTCCTGGGGGGGCCTAAGTCGGTAGTCCCCGAAAGCAGCTTTTGTGGAGTCTGGCCTGAGACCAGAAGGAGGGGAAGCTTCTCTTCTGATACCTGCTCTGACAGGTCCTCAAAATCTTTGCAGCGGCCAGGGTTCTTCTCTCTCCAGCTGTTCCTGTGCATTTGCCCTTCAGCTAGCTGGCGGGAGCAGGCTTGGCTCCCCCTTAACACTGGTCTGTCTTGTTTGTTCCAGCACAAACAGGGCAAGGTGGGCCCTGATGGCAAAGAACTGATCCCCCAGGATTCCCCCCGAGTGGGCGGATTTGGATTTGTTGCAACCCCCTCTCCTGCCCCTGGTGAGTAGTGGACCCTCTGTCAAGCTGGCCCCCTGATAGGACTGCCTGTGGGGAGGTGGGCTGCTCAGTTGGCTCTTGGCACCCTTGACATTTCCCCATGTCTGCCCTGTGCCTCATATGACTCAGAGACCCAGTGTCCCACCTGTGCAATGACAGGGCTGAATGGGGCTATGGGCGGGCTGGATTCTTAGGGAGACCTGATTTGAGATGTGTGAGTCCCAGCCCATTCAGCCGGGCAGTCTTCGTGACTTGCCCTGAGCTTAGCAGGACAGACTGGTTTTGCTGGGGACCAGGGGTGTCGGGGCTCTACTGGACAGACTGGCTGCGGCAAGCATGCTTAAGGGCATGGGGAGGCTGGGCAGGGGGAGGCTAAGTGTAGGGGCATAGGGAAGAAGCTCTGGGCTCCAGCCCTGCGTGACCTCACACAGGAGATTTATGAGACTTGGGGACAATCTCATGGTGCAGGTGGTGTCCTCCTGCTCTCCCGAGCATCGTCCTCTGTATTTTGGGCTGCTGGTTGCTGTGACATAGGCCAGGGTATATGGAGGCACTACAGGTTTGTGCAGGGTCCTGGGAGGTTTGGGTGCTCTGAAAGCCCCCAAGTGTCTCTCCACCTTGGGGTGGCATGCCATAGCAACTTCTAGGCGGCTCCCCTGGCCATGTGCTAGGATGGGGGCCTGGCTGACCCAGCCTGGCTTCTCTGGGGAGCCCTCTTCCCAGGCTAAGCTCCACAGCTGTAGGGGCCTGGGCTTGCCTTGGGCTCAAAGTAGCCTTGGCATTGTCATCTCAGAGGGCAGAGGTACCAGGTCCCAGAGTCCCAGGGAAGGAGAGTGGGCCAACTGCCAACCTTGGTGTATGTTAGCTGGGATGCTCATGGTGGGAGCTGGCTGTTGTAGGAGAGAGGGCCTGGCAGGACCCCCACCCAGATCCCCTGGCCTGAGGTAACTGTGGGCTCTCTCCATCCACAGGTGTGAACGAGTCACCGCTGATGACCTGGGGGGAGGTTGAAAACACTCCCTTGAGAGTGGAAGGATCTGAGACCCCCTATGTGGACAGGACGCCAGGGCCAGCCTTCAAGGTGAGTCATGGTGAGGGGAGCTCAGGTGCGACCCTGAGAGGGCATGTGGTCCTCTGAGAACTTGTAGCTCAACACACAGAGGATGAGCTAGCTCCCACTGGTCAGACTAGAGCCTACTGAAGGGCCAAACCATGCTCCAGGCTGCATACCTGCACAGGTACTGCACTTCAGAATAGGGCCAGAGCACTGAGGACAGGTGTGGTTGGACGGAGGGATTCGGGTGTGAGGTCAGGGCACCAAAGCCATGGCCCTTTGAGTCTGCAGGCCTGTGGACCGGGGAGGGCCCCAGAACCCCAGTGTTCTGTGGGATGTGGTTTGTGTTTACAGAGAGGGGGGTTGCGTGTTTACAGAGAGAGGACTCTGGTTACAGGAGAGCATGAATCAGGAGGCACTTGTTATTTAGAATTTGTCAGAGTGGGGGAGTTATGAGGCCTGGAGCAGGTAGGGAAGGGAAGCTAAGTGCCAGATGGTTTGTATAGCTGGGATGGCCTAGGATGGTGTGGGGCCCCAGAGAGGCTTTGGGAGGGCAGCGTGCTCTGGTCTGCACAGTTTGTTGGGGAACCCGAGTGACATAGTTTAGAATGTGAAGGAAGAGAAGTCGCTGGAAGCTGGGAGCATGCTGTCCTGTTCTTGGGGTGCTGGGCCAACACTCCCAACGTGGAGTGCTAGGAGATCACAGCAGGTGGAGGTCAGTGATGTTGCAGAGGGCAAAGGGTTACATCATATGCCTTGAAACCCCAAAGAGTCAGACACAGAATTTGGGATTAATGTAGGTCTGTTGCATGGGGAGCTGGGTCACACATGGTCTTGAACTGGCCCCTCTAAACGCTTGCAGTGGTCAGTTTGAAGTGCAACAGAAAAAGAGGTCTCATTCACTATAGCAGCAGAAATTTAGAACGACTAGCAATAATTAAGCTCTTGTAAAGAAACCACAGGCGAGTGCTGCAGACTTACGTAAGGAAAACTGCTGGAGCGTGCGGGCCCCACCGGGAGGCCTCCCTAGCATAGCTCCGCTCATTCTCCCCCTGAGAAGCAATGCATGTCTAGACAGAACGTGCGCAGAGGATTTTGGCCCCTTGGTTCTTAAACTTGCCTGGCACACAAGGATAACCAAGGAAAACTGAAGAGAGGAATGACAGGGAGGAGCGTGTGCCGGCAGGTGTTAAGGCATGCCACAGGTATAGGTGTGTCAGAAGTCTGCCCCTGGTCCTAGAGCCTATGGGGCAGTAGGGAAGAGATTCTGAACAAACCTTCGTCCAAATCAGAATTCAGGGTACACGAGAGATAACAGCTCAAATTGTGCTGAGTCGTAGAGTATGTGGAAATGAAGTTCTTGATACATAAGATGGAACGAGTTCCTGGAAGCAGAAATATTAAGTATATAAGTCAATGTAAGACACTTAGAAGAAAATAATAGTATTTAATCTGATTTTAAGGTAGGAAGGGTTAGATCTTAAGGGAAGTGAGGTTTAGTTTATACTGTACAAAGTGATAAACTTAAATACAGCAAAAAAAAAAAAAAAAAATGTAAGAGAAACTGAAAGCAAATAACTGAGAGGGAATTTGTATGGCATAGCTTAATGTAACTGATGTGGGTAAAACACTAAATAATGAACAAGCACTTTAATAGAAAAAAAGAGGCCAAGGATGTGTCTTGGGAAGTTCTGCAAAGAAATACAGAAGGTCAATAGATGTTAAACAGAAAGCTGTTTACTCTGGTAGTCACAGAGAAGCCGATTCAGAAAGACCCCTTTCTTTCCTAAAAGACTGTCAGAGGTTCATAAGTTGGCAGTGCTGGCTTTTAGGGGTCCGTGAGGACAGGCAGGTGGGCAGTTCAGGCAAGCTTTTTGGGGGGCTTTTAGGAAGGTGGCAGTGGGTTGTGAGGATCATGGGGGCCACGAAAAGAGGCAGGTGCCCCACCAGCAAGGGACTGCCTGACTCGGTGGCAGGCTACCCACAGACTTGCTGTCATGTAGATCTTGGAGCCAGGCCGCAGGGAACGGCTGGGGCTGAAGATGGCCAACGAGGCTGCAGCCAAGAACCGGGCCAAGAAGCAGGAAGCCTTGAGGAGAGTGACGGAGAACCTGGCCAGGTGAGGCGTGGCTGACCTGTGTGGGTGGGGGTCTCTCCCTGCTCCCACATGGCCCCACCCCCTGCATATGGATGCACAGTGTGCAGGGCAGGCCCAGGCGTTCTGTAGTGGGTCCTATAGCAGCTCCTCTGGTCCAGGGCATGGCCTGTTTGAACCAGGATGCAGGGTCCCTCTCCGTCTTTTCCTTCTTCAGCCTCCTTGGCACAACCCTTAGAGACACCTTTGGGCCCCTTGTCCTGCTATGAGCTCCTGTCAGCGCTTTGGAAACAGGTGTATCATTCTCCTTGGAGAGAGTTGAGGTCCATCCCAGCCCCACAGCCAAGGGCAGCACTACCGCTGAACCTTAAGTTTGACTACACTGCTGTGTGCCAGGCCACCTGGTATCCTCAGCCTGTAATGACCATGCATCTCCCATGTATCTTCCTGTGGGGCCATGGGAGGCCCTGCTGCGGTGGTGCCCACATGGGCCTAATGGTGCCTCATTCACCCACTTCTTCCATCCCAGCCTCACCCCCAAAGGCCTGAGCCCAGCCATGTCTCCAGCCCTGCAGCGCCTCGTGAGCAGGACGGCCAGCAAGTACACAGACCGGGCCCTGCGGGCCAGCTACACCCCATCTCCAGCACGCTCAACCCACCTCAAGACCCCAGCTGGTGGGCCCCAGACCCCCACGAGCACGCCGGCTCCTGGCTCTACAGCACGCACCCCCCTCAACCAAGATCCAGCCTCCATCACGGACAATCTGCTACAACTCCCTGCCCGGCGCAAAGCCTCAGACTTCTTCTAGGGCCAGGCCCGGGTCGGGCCTGTGGAAGCTTTGTGGAGCCTGCAGGGCAGCTGCCCACTCAGCAGAGGACTCCGGCCTTCTGGGGACCCAGGCCCGGGCCAGAAATGGTGACTGTCCCAGGAGCCACAGAAGAGATGCCGTGCCTCAGCCAGACTGGTACAAAACTTGGCCCTCACAGCCTTTGGGGTGCATCCCACGGTCTTGTTCGTACTCTTTTCTATCAACCGCCTGTCTGTTTTTATTTAGCTGTCATTAAAGAGCACCTAGCACCATCTGGCAGGCTTCTGTGTCCGGCCTGCTCTGCACGGCCCTTAGGCGGCCCTCGTGCCTACAGCACGGTCTCAGGACTGCAGGCCTTCCTGGAAGGAAGCTTCTGGGTGAGGTGACCCTTGGAAGACCAGGGTGTCTGGCCTTTCTTGCCACTACCTACATTTCTTTCTGTGGTACCCCCGAGGCTTGGAACCTGCCCTCTGGGCTGAGCTCACAGCACATTGGGCCCTGCCCCCCAAGTTCTTTCCCTCTGAGGGAAGTAGGGAATCCTTGAAAGTTTCCATGTCCCTCATGTTCTACTGGGGCTCTGGGTCCAGGTCTCCAGCCTCCCCAGCCAGGCCCAGCCCTTGTGGTTTGCTGGTGACAGGGCTGCACAGGTCCTACGTGTCAGACGGCCCCTCACGTGAGGCACCTTCCCAGTGGCCTCAGCGTCCCCTCCAAGTACCTGGTCTCCAGCTCAGATGGGGCAGGGCTGTCTCTGTCTTCCTGCCCTTCCATCTCCCAGTGCTCTAGGCGCTGCCTTCCATACCCTGCTGAGTCACTAGCAGGAGCCGTGGGTAACAGTAACCTGGGTCACCGTGTCAGAAGCAGTGGGGCCAGGTCCCATGCAGACCCCATAGCACCATGTGCACTACAGGCCACACTTGCCCATGACCCAGAGGGCTTTGGTGCCCAGGCCTCCTAGGGCTGCTTCACAGGGAGAGGGGGGACCCAAGCTGGCTCCCAGATGGGTCTCTTCGGGCCTCAGGTAGGGTCAGGTTGTGCCCTTCTAGGGGTTTGCACTGCCCAAGAAAGACAGCCTGGAATCTACTCAGACCACAGTCTTTCTCTTCTTGAGTGTGCCCAGCCCTGCACTGGCCGTTGTCTTGGGTTGTCCCGCATGGGTCCTGGCCGCCTCCATGAGTGCCATGTTCCCTGAAGGCTGGCGTGGGCTTGTTGCTTGCCTGGGCACCCACTAGCCTGTGCTCCTCAATTCCTGTCAGCTCCCAGGGGGCTGAACCCCAGCCAAGCCCTGCAACTCACCAGGGGGGTGGGCCCCCCCCCCCCCGGCCGCCCCCCCCCCCCCCGGGGGGGGGGGGGCCAGAAAAGTGTGGCCTTTGGTGCTTTTCCCCCACAGGGAAGGGTGGGCATAGGACAGAAAAGCATAGAGGCAGAAGTCTGAGTGGAATGTGAGTGAGATACAGAGGGAGATGCTGTCCAGGCAAGGCCACCTAAGGTCAAGCGCTGGCCCCCTTGAGCACTGGCTGGTGTGTGGGGTGGACGGGATGGGGTGGAGAGGGTGTGAGTGAGAGGTCTGGGCTGGGGCTATTCCAGCAGATGAAAGGGCACTCGAAGGGCTGAGGTCACTGGTCTCAATCACAGCCATGGAGGGAGCAGAGTACATGGAGAAAGGGGCTGTCTGAAGGAGCAGGATGGGGTCAGGGTCAGGTGGACCATGCTGTGCCTGAGCAGGAGAGACACAAGCAGCTGGCCAGCCTGGGAGGCGCTGGGCCCCGGGGCAGGTCAGAGGGAGACAGTGAGGACCTGGGAGTGGATTGCAGCTGAGGTCTTCTTGCCCACAGGGCCTCGCTGTAAGTCTGCCTGTGCACCCCTGTGCTGGAGACCCCCACGCCACAGGGAGGGTGGTTGCCTGAGTCCTAGAGAAAAAGACTCCTCAGGGGCCACTCTTGATGCATGTATACACTTTGTGGTTTATTTGGTGGTCAGTAATTAATGTTTTTGCTACTAAGTGGAAGAAAGCTAATAGAACATAATCAAAATAGTGGTTTAATTGACAGATTTTATTTGTTCCTTGCACCTGTGCCTTCTTAGCTCCTACCTGCCTATTTAGTTTATGTGGGTGCACACCATGCACCACGCCCCCCGGGCCCTTAGCACCGCTAGGTGCTTGCTTTCCCCACCTCGGCTCCGGTGACATGATGATCTTTTGCCTTGGAGGTCTCAGCCAGCCTGTCGTCCACCCTGTCCTCATTCTCAGGCACCACCAGCAGCCGGTGCTGGGTTTTGGCCCCCAGCTTGTGGTCAGGCAGGTGTTCGGGCTGGTGCTCGGGGCGAGAGGCTGGCCGGGTGTCCAGTTTGCACTGGGTCTGGTACTTGCCCTCACCCTCCCTCTTGAAAGAGGCAGAAGACATGGCTTTGGGCTTGGGGGGCTGTAGCCATGAGTGGCTGAGAATCTCGTCAATGTGCAGTCGCCGGTTGACGTCCGGCTGCAGGATTCGGTAGATGAGGTCCTTGCACTCACCCGTCAGGTTCTTGGAGCGGGGGAAGTCCACGCGGTGCTCCTTCTGGATGCGCAGCATCTTCTTGATGTCAGAGTCATTGTAGGGCATGGAGCCACAGACCATGATGTAGAGGATCACGCCCAGGCTCCAGATGTCATACACCTTGGGCTGGTAGGGGATGCCCTGCAGCACCTCAGGCGCTGCATAAGCCGTCGACCCACAGAAGGTCTTGCTGAGGATGATGCGGCCACTGCCGTCCCGCGGGCAGTGCTTGGAGAAGCCAAAGTCAGAGAGCTTGATGTTGAAGTCCTTGTCAAGGAGGAGGTTCTCGCACTTGAGATCTCTGTGGACAACGTCCAGATCGTGGCAGTACTTGACAGCCGAGGAGAGCTGGCGGAACATCTTACGAGCCACGTCCTCGTGCAGCGCTCCCCGACACTTGATGAACTCAAGGAGGTCGCCCTGGACCCCGAGCTCCATGACGATGTAGATGCGGCCATCAGAGGTCTCAAAGATCTCATACGTCTTGATGATGGAGCGGTGGTTGACAGTTGCCAGGATGTCCATCTCCCGAGGAAGGAATCTCTCCACAAAGTCGGTGGGTGTCTTCTTGCGGTCGATGATCTTGACCGCCACGTTGAACTTGAGGCGCTCAGAGTAGGCAGATTTGACTTTTGCATATGAGCCCTTACCAAGATTGATGCCCACGATGTAACCTTTCTTCCTTAGGACCGCGGCATCGTCCATGGTGCCAGGTGTGGCTGGCGCCGCTGCGCTCTACATCCCCTCCCCACGTGGGCCAGCGGGCATTGTCCTCATTTACACTGTGAGGAGCTGTCTGGCTGGGCTGAGCCTGGACTTGGAGGGGTGTAACGCTCAGCATTGTCTCTGCGTGACTTCAGCATGTGAAGTCATAAAGCCAGGCTGCCGGGAGTGGGGACTGAGTTGGGTGAAAACGGGGCCCCTGGAACCCTTGGAAGCCAGGCTGGCCCAGCAGGAAGGAAGTCAGTACCCAGGACTGTGGTAACCCTCCCTGCTCCTCCTCTTCGCTGTGGCTTCCTTGTCATGAGTCAGGCCCAAGGGAGGGCTGCCCAGGCCAAGCCAGAGTGCCAACCCCATGCCCATTTCCTTCTCCTGGCTGTGGGGACCGACACTGCATTGGTCCATGTCTCACTAGGGCTGATTTCCTGCAGCTTTTTGGGGTATGAAAAAAACCTTCTCTAGGGCTGGTATCCTTGGAATCGGTGGCACCTGGGAGGGATGGCCCTGGTCTGGCCAGGCTGGCTGCTGTTCCTAGCCTTATGAATGAGAGCAGCTCCTGTTTTGGGTAGAAGGCTGGGGAGAAGAGTGCTATTGTGGCGGGCAGGGCCTGTGTGGGCAGGAAGGCAGGCAGAGCTCTGGGCCCCAGACTGACAAACGCATGTTCCGAGGGCTGGGGCGTGCATGGAGGATGGGCTGGGCCTTGGTCAGGTAGAGGAGGTGATGAGGCATCCAGGCAGGGAAGAGCCTGGGAGAGGTGAGGGCTTGTTCTGAGAATGGCTGAGTCCCACAGTCTGGAGTGAGGTGGAGGAGAAGGGAAGTGGCTGCTTTGCCCTGAGTGGTGGGCAGTCATTGCAGGGCCTGGGGCCGGAAGAGCCATGACCCAAGTCACATTTCAAGATGGTCCTTGGCAGAGTGCATAGAGAATGGGCTTCAGGGTAAGTGGAAGCCAGTGCCTTTGACCAGACAAGAGGAGGATGCACCAGGGTGGCCCTGTGGGGACTGGGTGCCAGAGAGAGACAAAGAGTCTGGTGCACTGGTCAGTGCATGGGCAGAGCCTTGGGTGGAGCTTTGCTGCTGGGGGTCCTGATAAGAGTAGGCACCTGGATGAGGAGGGGATCCTGAATTTGTGAGGAGTGGGCATGATGTGGGCTGGTGCAACCCTGATGTAGCACCGTTTGCATCTCTAGAGCTGTTTTTTGCACCTGAAAGCAACATGAAAACCCTTTTGTTTTTGCTTTGGGAACTGGGGCATCCTATGTGTGTCTCCTTGGGTAGTTTGGAAGCCCTGCTGCTTATCTGTTCTCCATCACAGGCATCCCGTGCCCACACATAGCTCGCTGCCAGGGTGGGTGTGCCACGTGCTCATGTTCAGGGGGGTGGGAGAGGAGGCCTGCCTCTATGTGGGTGGTTGGAGGGGATGTGATGAAGGACCCAGTGTGCAGCTGATCTACAGGGCCCTGCCAAGTTGATGAGGGGTAGGACGTGCCAGGCAGATGTGCCACCTTAGCTGGAGCACAGCCGTGTGGACATACCTGGGGCACGTGGGGAGCTCCCTGCATCTGGAGGTTCTTGTGGAAGATCTCAGGGGCAGGGTAGCCAGAGTCCAGATGCCAGCTAGGAGTGACTGCCTTCCAGCTGCCACGGCTCCCCTGAGGCCTGCTCCCAGCTCTTGGGAGCTCCTGTTACAGTAGCTTTAGCTTGATGCCTGCTTCCTCCTGGGACGTCTTTGGTCATTCCTTTGCGTCCCAGAAGGGGTTGGCTGTGAGGATTTGCAGGCCAGGACCCAGGAGCGTGACAATCTCCCCTGCCTTTCTCCTGCACTCCCAAATGTGTTATCTGGGGGTACCCCCTGCATATCTGCCTTTTTGGCTGACTCTACCAACCCACCCACTTTTCCTTGTTTTGTGGATCCTGCTCCCTCACACTCTGCCCTTGCCTGGGACAGCGTGACCTCTGCGGTTCTTGGGGACGTGGTGGAGGAGGCACAAGCTGAGCTGCCGTGACGGCGAGCAGATGGCATCACCCAGCACATGCACATGGAGGCAGGCATGGGAAGGGAATGGGAAGTGCTAGATCGGACCTGGGGCCTCCAGGGGTACTCCCAGCCTGCAGCCCTGCGCATGTGAGACCTGCAGACTCTCAGTAGG